TCAGCCCAACAGCTTCGGCCTCATGGTTGGAGATAGCCAGATTGTCGCCCATGCATAATGAATGAAAAAGGTTTGACTGAGGGTCGTAAGCAGCCCCTGCACCCCCTTTGTCCGGGTAGAAGGATCCATCACTGAAAATTAATAGAGTGTCCCTCTGAGGGGAGAGAGTGGAGAGCAGAAACTTAACAGCTTCTACAGCTTCTTCCTTTGTTTTGTCCAAGTTGACATAGGAAATCTTCCTGGATGATATTTGCTTGAAATCACACAAGAGGCCGATCCTCTCAGGTCCCAGCCAAACAGCTGAATCTACCATGTTGTGGGCCAATCCCATCCGAGCCGCATCTGCTAGCCTACTGGCCAAATCTGCCCTGCTAGATAAGATGAAACATCTTATCACATTGTTAGGTTTGGCAGTTGTAAGCTTCCGAAAAAAGAAAGAGAAACTTGTCCTCATAATATCCTGGAAAATTGGTTGAACCGATGATCACAAACCGATGAATCAATTTGAGGTAGCTTTGAAGACCCCCAGCAAAAAGATACCTGCAATCCTATCCGCTTTGTTGGCCAGGGCTGTGAGCTTTCCCTTGTTGGCTTTGGTTGCCCATATTGCTGCCCCATAGGTCACACGTGGGATGAGGACACTTCTTATTAATCTTACACAAGCTGCCTCCCTGGTGCCCCGCCTCAAATTACCAAAAAGTTTAGCTGAGCTGCCGTTTTTTCCGCCTTGGTTTCCAATGCCTTGAAATTGCAGGCAAAAGAGATTTTATTTCACTTCCTGTGCTGCCTTCAAATTCTGTGATCCAAATTGTAATGATTCTACGGAGGGTTTACTTTTGGTAAACCACATGAACTGGGCTTTGTCTTGATCAAAGATGGCCCCATGAGATTTGCCCCAGTGGAGTGATTGAATTCCTTTGCCATTGAGTATCAATTTGGTCTGTTCAAAAGAGTTAGCTGGGACTAAATGGACCACATCATCCACATATCCAATCAAAACTCTATCAAGGCTAGTGGAGAAATCCTTAATAAGTAAAGAGTTGTTGTAAATGATGTATAAAATAACAGAAAGAGGAGATCCTTGGGGGAGGCCAATCTCCATATGATGTGTCTTGGATATAGAGTCATCCAAACAAATTGTGGTGGACCTGTCATGTAAAAAGTCAGCAATGATTAGAATGAGGTAAGTAGGGCACTTTTGTTGTGAAAGATAGTGGATCAGTTGCTTTGGATGGACGGAGGGGTAGGCTGATTTAACATCCAGAAAGAGGCCAGCCACGACTTTTCCTTCTCGCCATTTAGCTTTGACCCAGTTTTCCAGTGCAAAGATGGCATCCTCAGTTCCTGATCCTTTACAGCCCCCAAAATGGCCATCAGCAAGGATTTTGCAGTCTTCATCCCATGCCGTCAGTCTGCGCGCCATGATGAGTTCAAATAATTTTCCCATTGTGTTTAATAAAGCAATTGGGCGGTAAGCGTTTGGAGAGGTGTAATCTGGTTTCCCGTGCTTGCGGATGATTGCCGTGACTGCAAATTTCCAGGGGCGGGGAAAGTTGGAAGAGGTTAGTATTTCATTAAATATTGTCAACAGGATGGGTGATAAGGTTGGAGAGAGCAGCTTAAGCATCTCGTTTGCAATCCCATCAATTCCTGCAGCCTTTTTTGGGCGGATTCTGTTGATAGCTGATTTGACTTCGGCAACAGAGACTTTGGGGTAACAGGCAAGCCTGCAGTCAGAGCTGGGAGAAACATGGGTGAGATTGATTGGAACATTAGTGATAGATGTGCCATCAAAAATAATCTCAGCTTGGGACTCTTTGTCCAGAAGGAGTTTGCCCTCTTTATCCCTTAAAGGTAGGATGCCACTGCCCGACGTGCGTTTGGAGAAGCATAAGACCTTGAGTAGGTCCGTCTCTTTGGGGCCTTCAAAAAGTTGTTCCCAGTTGTGTCACTTCAGCAAATCTACCAAGGTTAAGAAGTAAGTATTCCATTGTTTATAACAATCAATGGTGTCAGGGGACTTATCCAGGATCATCCAGCGCCAGGCTTTGTTCCTCATCTTGAGAAACAGATCTAGTGTGGCCTTGCACCACCAAGGTTTGGCTTTGGAATTGTCCCTCCTGACCTTACGCCCTAGAGAATCCTGTAGTGACTTGACCAAGGATGTGAGTGTTGCAACTTTATTGTCAAGAGTGAGATTGTCACCTGCTAGGTTTAGACACGACTCAGCTAATCTTGATTGAGTTTTTTCCTGGCAGATATTGTACCAGCGCGGTAGGGTCCACCGGTAGACCGGATCAGGTTTGCTAGCTGCAAGGCGCATAACCAAACCCTGATGGTCAGAGCCAAATTTGGAGTTTGTGACATCAACCACCTAAACTACTTGGGAGCCTAGGCAATTTGACCAAATTAAATCAATAGTTGATCCCTTGCCTTTATTAGAATAGAAGGTGGGGATGTGCTTGGGCGATGGAAGGCAAAAGCCATTGTGGGAAAGGAAACTTAGCAGGTTAATGGCTTCTGGGCCTTGTTTCTGACAACCCGGCGGATTCCAGTGGCGGTGATGCAGATTAGAGTCGCAATCTGTCTGGAATAATGTGATTTCAGCCACATCTCAAGTTCTATCACGACTGGGAAAGAGGGGGGGGGGTTATAAAGATTGATGATACGGAGCGGCTCTCCCGAGGGGAGCTTGAGCTCTACCCCTACAATAAGCTGGGAGCCCCCATCTAACAGAGTGATGTCGGATAAGGGGATCAAGGTCCGAATGTAAATAATTGCCTTGTGACATTGTAGGACTCAAAAAGTGATTGTAAGATCCTTTTTGCTGAATGGAGAAAGGGATGAATGAGCTGCAAACTCCGCCTTTCTATATTATCAGAAAACAAGACCACCAAGGTAAGCTTGGCAGTTTGGTTGGTGATAATGGATTATGTTCAAAGATGGTTGTGTAATTTTTGAAGGTTGATCTTGTTGTCCAAAGAATTGATTGAGTTGTTGATGTTGTTTCTCGTCTTAATGCCTTGATACTGTATATGTGTAATGTAATAGAGTTGGTTCTTGAACCCAATAATGCTGGGAGTACTTTGCTTCAACGAGGACTGGAACAAAGGACTGGTTCTTCTGTGTAATGTTTGTGAAACTGTGTACATATTTCAACTGTGAACTGTACTACTTGTGAACCTCTTGTGTAATAAATATCTGTGACAGGTGTCCCACCAAACATGTGTACTGAGTGGGATGAGGAGGAAACAACTGGCAGGCAGAGGCCTCCTTATATAGTAAAATATGAGGGATTTTAGCCCCAAGGGACCCCCTGTATGAGGCATTTTAGCTGCCCTGTACCTGAAAATACTGAGGGATTTTGGCTAGACTATCTACAATGCATCCCTTTTATATGCAAGCTGTAAGAAAGGAATTCATGTGTTCTGTGGCTAACTCAATGGGAATTTAACTGGTACAACTGGTGGCCAACTTGTGTTTATGTAAGTATAAAAGGAATTCATAATGGAATAAAGGAATTCAATATGCATTATGCAATATACCCCCATGCAATATACCCTCCAGCTGAGTGTCTCTGATCCTTTGATTCTCCGTGGGACATCCTTGCTCCGTGTAACTTCTGATCCAGTAGAGATATGAAGGTGGTTCCAGTGGGTGACTAGGGGTTGTTGGAATTTTGCCTGCGCTCTCCGATCTCCTCTCTCTATGCGCTCCGCTCTCCGCGATCTCTTCCCTATTTCCTTCTCCTTTTCTCTCTCGCTCAATTCCTTTGTCTTCTCAATCTTCTTAATCTTCTCAGATCCTCCAACCATCACTCGACCTCTCCCTCAATTCTCATCAACCATCCGCAACCAATCACAACCAAACCGGTCTCAGTCGTCAACCGCAGCAACCACATGTCAAACACTCAATCCACAAATATAAAACCCTGCTCCCTTTCGTCCTCAATCGATCTTTTCCCCAGCAGCTTCATCCCTCTCAATGCTAACACGCAACAACACCTTCTCCATCAAAGTCCCCAACTGCTCGGACTTCTTACCTCGACCCTCAACAACTAACACCATTCCCTTCTATCTCGCCATCCAACTCCGTTTCTTCTTCTCTCTTTTTCTCTATCTTCTTTCCCTAATCTCTCTCCTTATTCACTCACATTGACGCCAACTTCCACTCCTCTCATCATCCATTCAACCATCAACGGTTCTTCTGGCGCCGACTCTCTCTCTCGATCTGCTCACTTGGCTTCTGCCAATTTGGTGAGAAACTGACTGGATATGTTTCTCTTATTAAAAATGAAGATTTTTTGTATTGACCTTTTGCTCTCATTATTTTCTTGTTCTCTCTTTTTTCTGACCGCCTAGTGTCTACTACTTTTGCCTATTTGATCTCATTTATTCCAGTCTTTCTATTCTGTCTAAGTCAAAGCATAACTCTCATCGTGGTAGGCTTATTTTCTCATCCATCTTTGATGTTTTCATAATTCATTGTTTTTTATCATTTTCTGATATTTTCTCTTTGTTATCTTGTTTTTAGTTCTGGTTCTAGTTTCGGTAATCAAACCTGTTTTTCATCAGGGGTTAAATTGGCCGTAGATTCCATTTCTGAAGTCCATGTGTCCATATCTTGAGTCCTTCATTGATAAATAATAAAATTTTGAATTTTCTCCCTTCATACACAGGAATAATGACCACAAGGTTGATGCCATGAGGATGGGGAGTGTTCAAAGGTGACAAAGGGTTGCCAGGCGGTGTGTTGAGGGGGAAAATAATCAAGAGGGTTAACCCAGGGTTCCTGGAGGACTAAAATATCATAATTGAGGGTAGAGTTCAGTATACTTAAGGTCACCGATTTGGAGATGTGACAATTGAGTTGAAAAACAGAGAATTCTTTGTGGTCAGGTTTGTCTGGGGTTGAGGAAGCCACCCAGTCCGGGAAAAGTGCTGTTGAAAAATCGTTGTTTGGAGACAAGTTTCTGTTGGAGGTTGGGTTGGGTCCTTCTATCATTGAGACGGAAGGGGGCGCTTCTCAAGCCAGGCCTTCTTGTAAGGGCAAAGCTTGTCAAAAGGGATGTGGTTGATATCAGTGATTCCTTCAATCTCATTCTTCAAGCCTTCTTTGCAGAGGACACAGGATTTGATGTTACCAATGCCTTTGGGGCATTCATTCATTGAGTGTTTCCCAGCACACTTGGCACAACAAGCCGTTTCCCGGCACCATTTGCCAAAATTTCCCATCTGCAAGCATTTAAAGCGCTGTGGAGGGTGGGGTTTGAATCGGTTGGTCCTGTGGAAGTCATAATTCAAAAAGATGCCGGATTTTTCAACGCGGATGGCTAAGTCTTTATTAGTGAAAGATAAAATGATTGAACCAGCCTTCTTAGCTGTTCCTTTGTTTGAGCCCATCCATCTCACTCTAGCCAAGTTGGTTGCCTGAAAGTTGTTTTCAGAAGCCAGTAGCGCAATACTAGCCGGATTTCCAATGTCAAAAGATCTCAGTACGCCATGAGCCATCACCAAAAAGGTGCTGGGGGTCGATTCTAGGTCTACATGAACTTCTTTAGACCACAGATGTTTATTTTCCATCAGCCATTTTTGCTGGCCGCAATTATTAATATAAAATGAAACATCACCCGACAGGAGCATGCTGGCACCCCGGATGGCCACAATTTCTCCATCGACAGTAGCATTCATCTTTGAGAGGGTTTTGTTTGCCTTTTGAACTAGGGCACTTTTGGGTACATCTTTCAGGTTGGTGTTGAGGGGTTTGGAGTGGATGATGATGTGTTTTGGTTTCAGGGACGCGAGTGCTTGATTGGAGGGGGGTCAAACGGTAGGCGGTCTGAGGGAAGGTGCACCAGGGGTTGATGTGGCCGTGTAAAGCCCCTGTTTCACTTGGGCTTCACAAGGAAGTCCCTGATTACATAAGCCCTAGTTTGAACTCAGTACTTAGTCCTTGTTATCCTCTTCCCTCTTCTAGCTCAGTAGAGACCCCGGACTGATCCATCTCTCACTGAGCTAGGTAAGCTTCTCATTCCTTTTCTCATCTTTCCTCTTATGATTCATCTTGTACACAAGGAGAGACCCCGGACTGATCCATCTCTCACTGAGCTAGCTCCATGAAATAAAGCCCCACAGATTGTTTCTAGAACCGCTCCAAGGCTTCACTGCCTTGTCACTTCATCCTCACAGTGAAGAGCAGTCCCAGCTCTTACACTTTTTTTTTCTAGACTCATTCTTCTCCGGCAATTTTTTCCACCAACTCCGACTTCACATCTTGGTACAAACCAACCCCACTGAAACTTTCAACTGACTTACCGACTCGACTCGACTGCCTTGACTGAACCTACTTGACTGAACCTAATTGACGGTACTGACTTGACTGACTGAACTGTTCCGACTGACGACTGACTGACTGTTCCGACTGACAACTGACTGACTGCTCCGACTGACCCCAACTGTTTCCTTTCTGCAAATCCTTTGGTCTCGGGATTTCCTTTCTGATAACTGGCCATCAAACATCCTGCAAATCCTTTGGTCTTGGAATTTTTTTTTCCAATAACTGGCCATCAGTTGCCCGTTCCGTCCAACCCACCACTTCCGACCGACTCCGCTGCTCTAAGGAGCTCTCCTTCTTGACTTGACTTCCCGACTTGACTTTACTGACTTTACTTACCAACTGGAATTCCTGGCATACTCAAATGCTCCCCTTCTCCCACTACCCAATCTCAACTTCCTTGCCACCATCCCCTCTTGTTTCAATCAGACAAACAGTGATCAACAACCGGTCCCCCAATTCCTCCTTGACTGCCTTCTGGCCTTCGGAATTAACAACCACACTTTGCTCAAGAGAACAATTGACCAAATACCGATGACTGAGGTGCTTCGCCACTGGCCTCCAGGACTCTCGATGCAGCTTTTGTAACTTTTGCTTGACTTCCAATACTGTCGCTAGACTCTCAGAGTTGTCTCTCAACTCTTGGCATTGTCACTGGATCATTGGGATTGCCTCCAGAACTTTGGAATCACCGTGGACTTGAAATCAAAAATCATCACAATACTCTTGGTACCATCTTCTACAGAACCTCGGGACTGGACACTAGACTTTCAAGATTACTACTGGACACTCGAAACCGTCGCTGGACGCTCGACATCATTGCTGGACTCTCGAAATTGTTGCTGGACGCCTGAAATTGTCTCTGGACGCTCGGAGTCGCCACTGGACTCGGGATATTGTCTCTGGACCTTTGGAATCGCCTCTGGACCTTTGGGATTGCCTTGGACCTTTGGGATTACCTCCTGAACCCTTGCAACCATCTCTTGACCTTTCTGATCGCCTCTGAACCCTCGCGATCATCTCTGGACCCTCAGAATCACCTCTGCACCCATTTAGATCATCTTCAACTTGCAACACTCATGATTTTCCTTACTTTCTCGGGTCACTTGTTCACAATCCAACAAGACAACACTAGTTTTACAACAGCCTAATCAATTAACAACTTTCCAGCATTACACACTTCAACCTCCTTTTTTGTCTACATTCATTACCTTCAACAGTACAATAATAACTCAAAAAAGCAAATTTATTATCAACAACCTCATCTAGTAACAACTTACCACACACCTGATTTCATTCTTGCATTCAACAACTTCAACAAATCAGATATTTCATCCACTCTTACCTTGAACTGTTCAGCTCATATCAATCAACATTACTACATTTCAACTCAAACCAAACTTTTACCCCCCCCCCCTTAAAAAATTTATATATAGTTTATTCTTTCCTCTTTTTGTGTAGGAGGGGAGACTGTAAAGCCCCTGTTTCACTTGGGCTTCACAAGGAAGTCCCTGATTACATAAGCCCTAGTTTGAACTCAGTACTTAGTCCTTGTTATCCTCTTCCCTCTTCTAGCTCAGTAGAGACCCCGGACTGATCCATCTCTCACTGAGCTAGGTAAGCTTCTCATTCCTTTTCTCATCTTTCCTCTTATGATTCATCTTGTACACAAGGAGAGACCCCGGACTGATCCATCTCTCACTGAGCTAGCTCCATGAAATAAAGCCCCACAGATTGTTTCTAGAACCGCTCCAAGGCTTCACTGCCTTGTCACTTCATCCTCACAGTGAAGAGCAGTCCCAGCTCTTACAGGCCGACGCAAACAAATTCTTCTGGGGTTGTTGTCCTTCTGGGCCACCATTCATAAGCTTTTCAAGTTCGGCAAGCCGTGCCATGACGGGGTCAAATTTTGCATCAATCTTATCATTCAGTTGTTTGATTGTTGTGTTGAGTTGCGCGATTGTTTCTTCCAGTCATCGAACATTATGCTTGTTAGTTGCCAACAAATTCAATATGGTATCAACGAAGTTGGGGTCAACCAGGACGGCGCCAGACACGTTTTGGTTTGCAGGGTTGCCCAAGATCCTATTGAGGAGGGTGTGAAGGCTGGAGGGAGGGATGATCACCAGTCTGGAGTCGTGGGCGAGGTTTCCGTCAGAAATGATCACATCTTCGTCCATGGTTGATGAGTCTGGGCAAGCGACTGGGTTGGGGGGCGAGGTAGGGGGAGCATTGGCTGCTCCAGGGAGAAGAGTGAAGGGGAGAGAGGCTTTCTGTTAGTAGGGGGGAGGGTGGGTGGTGTGGTGTTAATTTCAACGCGTGTAGGGTTGTAATTGTTTGGTTGCAGACAGAAAGCTGGGTACATACTTTGGTTGTTGAGTGAATCTAAATGAATGATAGACTATGTATATAGAATAGTGTGAGAATTTATCAGGAATGACATGTGATAATATTTAAATACCTGTAAACCCATACTCTGTCACAAAATGTGAGACGGGGATCAGCTGTAGCAGCTCAAGGGTTGCCGTCTGTTAGATCACGAGATGAAACTCCCCCAAGGGGAAATACTATTTCTTCAGTAGAGAGGTATTTATACTCTAAACTATATACATACTTTGGTTGTTGAGTGAATATAAATGAATAATGGACTATGTATATAGAATAGTGTGAGAATATATCAGGAATGACATGTGATAATATGTAAATACCTGTAAACCCATACTCTGTCACAACACTCCCCCCCCCTCAACAACCCAAAAAAATGAAGAGAGAAGAGAAGAAGTGAAACAGAGAAGAAGATAATAAAAATGAAAAATAGAGATCAGATAAGCAGTAGGACAAAGAATAAGCAAAAATGACATAAGATCAGGAAAAAGAAACTTGAAGAGAAAAAGAAAGAGGGAAATAAGATAAACCACATAAGAAAAAACAGAAAAAGGAACCAAAAGAAAACACGGGAAGAATAAGAGAAAAGAGCAGAAAGGGAGAAAACATAGAGACAAATGAAATGTGCCACAGCAAGAAAGCGAAGGGAAAATTGAATGGGAGAATTTGAGGTAGAAAGATGAGGAAAAAATCAAATAACCACGGCAATGTGCAACCAAAACAGCCAAACTGAAGAGCGGGTGTCTGCAATAGATAAAGCAAGGAAGGTCAATATCCAAAGAACCAATCAACCGTCTGGCATTCTATGCCCTGAAGAGAGACGAACAATCACTGGGGGTGCATGATCATTGCTGCCAGTGCATACCCCCCCCCCCCCGATTACTTGCCAAGGTGAGAGATGTAGGCCGCAACCCTGTCTGGGAAAGGAACTGAGAGACCAACTTCCATCCAAGGGTCTTGGTGAAAATGTTGGCCAGCTGCTCGGTCGTCGGGACCCATTCCAAATGAACCTTCTTCTTGTAAAGAAGTTTTTTAATGATATTAAACTCTCGATCAACATGAAAATGCTCCTTCCAAGTGCCACAATCAGAGCTGATATGGATGGCAGTCTTATTGTCAGACATGATGATAGGCGGTTGGAGAGTAAAAAAGGAGGATAGGACGGAGGACAGGGAGCTTTCAGGGCGCATTGAGAACCGTGCCAGGAGATTTACCGCAAAAGTGATGTCAGGGTGCAAGCCTTGAGCAAGATATAGGAGGGATCCAATCCTTGACAAGTACTCAATATTCATCAAGCCATCCAACTTGTTAGACAATAAATACTTGAATAAATTGGAGTCCGATTCTTGATCTCACAAGGGCAGAAGTTGATAATCTTCTGAACTAACATTGGCTGGTCAAGGTGAAAACCTCCATCCATCTCCCGTACCCTGAGTCCCACAATACTGGCCAGTTGCTCGTCCCACTTGAGGTCCAGGACTGCGGAGAGGGAGTCCTTCAGTTGATTGAGTAAATGATCAGAGCTTGCCGTGAAGAGACCATCATCCACATGGATCCAGAGAAACGCCCGGCCATTGCCCTTGTTGTAGACGTATGTCAACTGATCCTCTGGGTTGGGGAAGAATCCAATGCCTTCTAGTCTATTCTTCAAGTGCAACCACCAACACTGAGCTGCCTGCTTGATACCGTAAAGAACTTTCTTGAGTTTTAAAAAGCAGCCCGGCTTGACATAAACACCCAGCAGTGGACAAATGTAGACTTTGTGGTCAATGTCACAATGCAGGAATGCACTGCGGACATCAAAAGAGGCAACCAGCCACCCAAGCCTGGAGGCCATAGCAAGGAGAATTCGTAAGGAGGAAAACGTTGGTGTAAGGGCAAACGTCTCACTCACATTGACCCCCTGAACCTGGCAAAATCCCTGTGCGACAATCCTGGCCTTGAATTTGATGATGACTCCTTCCTGGTCCTTTTTCAGAGCAAAAACCCATCAACAGTTAAGAATTGAGTCAGCCTCCGACTGAGACACTTCCACCCAAACTCCAAGAAGTTACATCATTCCAATTTCAGCGTTACAAGCATCCAACCATTCTAAGTGATAGTCTGATGAAAGAGCCTGGTCGTAAGAGTTCGGAGCGTCAGACATAAAGGGAGACATAGCCGCAACAGAAGAGATGACAGCATCTTGAATCTCAAACTCCTTCAATTGGGTAAAGTCGCCAAGGTGGGTCACCTGAATAGAGTTGAGGACTGAGTTCAGACTGCTGGAGTTGGTCAATCCCGATGGTAGATTGTCCTCATGGAAGATAACAGATGCTGCACGCTTGGTAGTGTTCTTAACAGGATCCCATAGGACCCACCCATGCGAGACATCCGACACACCAACATGGATCAATGCGGAGGACCTGGGTACGTATTACTTGGGGTATTTGATGTCGTGCATGTAAGCTTGACAGCCAAAAACTCGCGCCATGTCCAGGCAGGGTCTCTTCCCCATACCCAACTCGTAGGGTGTTTTTCGATCCTTACCATGAACAACCCTGTTGAAGATAAAAGCAGCATGCTTCAGCAATAAGAACCAGAGAGACGCAGGAAGTTTTGCATGAATGAGGGAATTCCTGGCCATATCCAGTAGGGACCGGTTTGTCCTTTCAACAGACCCGTTTTGATGGTGTTCATATGGAACACTCATTTCATGTCGAATGTTATTCTTTTGGAGGAAATCTTCAAACCGTTTTGATATAAACTCCCGACATTGTCTGACTGGATGCACTGCACCTCATGTGGGGTGTGTCTGTTAAAATTGCTCAACCCATTTCATCACCTCCATAGGTCCATCCGCCTTAGCCTTCAACCCAATGGCTGAAGTCATCCGCAAAAAAACATTATGAATGATTAAGCCAAATTTGCTGCCATTGATTGCCGCTGCAAACGGGTCAACCAGATCAATTGCAACAACATCTCCAGGCTTGTCCACAATCTCCCTCAAAGGTGACTGTACCGGTGTGTGTTGACGTTTCGCTAGTGAGCAAGAGTGACATTTACTCGGAAGAAGAGAAAGCTTCTTGTGAGGTAGACAATGAACAGAATCAAATTTGATCGTAGGTTGACAGACCTAATGTCAGACACTGAGACAATAGCGGATGTGTATACAATGTAAAGATATAAGTACAAACAGGCTAGTGTAGTGGTTAAGAACTGTCTTAAGAAAATTTGTACCAACACCCCTGTGTTCAATCCCCCTTAAACTCTGTTGTATTTTTATTCATTTCTTTTATATATTTTTTTTCCTAAGTAATTCCGTGGAATAACTTAGTATCTTCCTCTGTATTAATATACCTTTATTACAGAGATTCTAGCTTATGTACATAAAGTCTCTTCTTCTCTCTCTCTAAGTATATTCTGTAATTAGAGAGATTATTACACTTTGAGAATTGATTAATTTATCTCTCTCTGTATGGATTCACCCATAGAGAGAAATGATGTCATTCCCTCCACTTTGGATGTAATCATATTTTAAATACATATTTTGATCATTTATGATTTAAACACATAAAATGATCATCTATGGACCTGTCCGGTCCAACAGGCAGTTTGAACCCTGCCTTGCAATACTTAAGGGGGAGGGCTTTCCCTCTAGGATTCTTCCCCCCAGAGATTATTGCCATACAAACCCATTTTCCTTACTTAAACTAAGTGAGTGGGTTTTTTTATAATCTATTAAAACCCATTACATCCATCATCTTCCCTCATCCCTAGACTAAAGTAAAGTCACTACTGTAGCCTAGAAGAGAGTTATACATACTCTGAGCTTGGGACCGTGAAGCTCATTCCGCGTGTGTCCCCTCTAACCCAGGGAGCTAACCCCTCCGCTTACTAGCGTCGAGGCGAGGTTCTTTTCCATTGGCTGCCTAAGCAGTTATAGTGTGACCCTAAAACCCCATCAATGCCAGGTCACTCAAGAGACCGGCGCTGACAATTGGGGGTCTGGCCATGTTTCTTTTCCTCAAGACCGCCACACCAAACCATTCATAAAAGACAGATTTTTTTTTTAATCCAAGTTGTTTCTATTTTTTGATTAGATCCCATCATTGCTCTGGCAATATTACTACTCAGATCAAAGCCCCCTTACGCGACCATTCATCCCATCTTGTGTTACACCTGCTGGTTAGTTATCACTAACTAAACGCACCTGTACACTTCAAATCTTAGTTGGCCGATAAAGACAAAATTAGATCATACGAGTCAGTAACTCATAGTCTTTTCAAATTCTTCTTATTATTACTCCGACTAATTCCTTCATCGTACATTTTTTTTTTTGAAGTGTTGACTGATTTGACTACGTCTGCCGGCAAGACCGCCAAGCCAAGACAAGCGCCTGCCGCAGAACTGATCAGTTCAGTCCAACCCATAGCAACTTCTAAGAAACGTGTCTCTAAGACTTCCAAAAGTGCTAAGAAGAAAATCAACCCGGAGATAGTTCCATCCGAGTGGGACACTAGCACCAAAGAAGACACTAAATCGGACAGACCTGAACCGACGACTTCAGCAGCGCCAATGTTGAAAAAGTCTTCCACAAACTCTGACCCATCAAGTAACAAAAAACCAGTCGACAAACTCCAGGATAGAGAACATGACCCGTTCAAAAGCAAGAAGCCCGTCAACAAACTCACCAACAGAGAAGTCTTGAACGGTATTCATATAAAAAAGTTATCTCCTGCGGATAAGCCCACTGCTCCTCCATTGGCTCCTTCCGTTCCCACCAATCAGGCTCAATCAGTCACTGAAGAGACTAAGATTCAATTGGTCGATCCAGTCGTTCACAAAACTACCAACGATTCCGAGAAATCGACTTTGATTCAACCAAAGGAGAGCTTCTTTACTCCCTCGTTTCCACCCGTGGATATCTAAAAACTTGGTTTCAAACTAAATATGAATATGTTTTCATCTTTGGTTTGTAACCGGATACTAGCCTGAGCTGTCTCAGACCAGCTCAAGGCTCCCAATAAGAAAATTCCAGATGGTTCATGGAAGAAAAAAGCAGCATAACTAACAGGTGGGTCCTCCATAGGGCTTTATAAATTAAGAGGTAATAAAAATCAGACCATGTGACCCCAGTCAAATTCATCTCAACACAGCTCCTACTAGAATTTCAGCTCAATCCAGCTCTTGAGCCATGGCTGATGCACCCAGCTCAATAAAGCTCCACCCCATGATTCAGCTCAAATCCGCTCCACTGAAATTTTTGACCAGTCAATTCATCTCAACACAGCTCCTACTAAAATTTCAGCTTAACATGGTTGACACACCCAGCTCAATGCAGCTCCCATGATTCAGCTCAACTCATCTCCTTTTGAAACTGCCAACAGCATTCTACCAATACAGCTCTTTGCAACTCAATACAGCTCTTTCCCACTGCGGATGACCATGCCCAACTGTAAACCTTACTGAGACACATCTGCCGGTGACCCCCCTCATGCCAACCCAATACAGCACCAAAGCTCAACTTGTCTTCAATCAACCGCATTCCACTCCCTCCAGTAGCCATCTTGAGCCAACTCAAAAAATCTCAAACACTCCCCAAAACTCAGGACAGCTCCAACCACTCAAACACCTCAGTCAAACACTCCAAAATGGTATCAACTCGTGCATCTCAAAGAAGAGGATCAACCCGATCCCAATCATCAATATCAACCTCCAATAAAAACCGAAAACAACGGATCATTACTGCCAACAAGAAACAAGGTAAAAAGTCGGTTATATCCAACAAAAAAAAAACTTCAAGAAACAAACAAACTGGAGATACTAGCCACTCACCCAGCCACCGATCCACCTGAACCCAAACTCAAGTTGAAAAATCAAACAATGGGGTTCAATCAAAACCAACCAATTCCAATCCCGACTCTGACTCTGACTCCAACTATGACACTCGGATCGGTTTCACCTTAGAAAACTTTGGGAGCCACCTTCCTAGTTGGTCGGTAAACGAACTCCGAAGAACTTTGCAAAAGAAGAAGAATCCCTCGAATTGACTTCCAGTAGACGTCCAGGAAGCCTTACAATTACTTCAACAAAACTATCTCAAAAGCAAACTAATGCTAGCACTTATTGGAAATGTGGGTGAAAAACAAATTCCTGTAAGTACTTATTTTTTCCTTGATTGTCAAGGGAAACACTTCTGAGCCTTCATGTTTCATTTTTGTAGCGGAGAGAACAAGCCATCTCGCAAACAATGTGGTTGGAATCGTTATGTTGCCTTTAGCCTTGAAAGTCTGAAGCATCCAGGTAAGTCTTGTTCCCAAGATTGATCAACTCTAACCAACCATTCACAATCTTGACCATCACAACATGATTTTGCTGCATTCAAGTTCCACCAAAAGGTACCTCTGAAGGCTGGGACCAAAGGAATTGCGAGATGGGTAAAGCTTTGGCCTCTCTAACTGCTGACGAGAAGGAGGTCTTTAGCTCCAGAGTATTTCAACACTTCTCAAAAATACCATGTGGATACGACAAAGACGATGATGACTATGTAGAGAACGAAGATAGTGAACTGGAAGATGATGAGGGAAGGGGCTCATTAACTCCGGATGAAATCAGCCTGTATATGCCACTTTATCATAACTTGGTCAACCACGATAAGGTGAAAGCTTTTATTGCCAAAGGACCTGAAAGCAAAGGTCACAATGCTGGCCAGGCCTACAAGCAAGCTCTCAAAAATATTATGAACTTGAATTCAGAGGTGAGTGCTTTGTATCAAAGTTGATTCACAGAAGCATTGATGATTTATCGTTACCAATACCCAAACAGTTGTACACTGTTTCAAATGTGTACAACACTACTTATTACCTTCTTTCTGCAACCCAAACCCCTGGCCTCAACAGCTTTTGCAAGGAATACTCAAACAATGCTGCCTGGCTTGCTTTGGCCCAAAAAGAATTGAATTCTAAAGAAACCTTCGAGGCTTACAGTCACGGTCGACAAATACAGGCCAACCTAGAAGCAATCACTAATGGTCCTGAGGGGGAAAGCGGTAGAGATGCAGACAAATTGAAAAAGAATCTCCAAAATGCACTCAATGATCTTTTGGGTTAGTGTCTCCTGCTTTTCAAATTCAAAGTGATTAATAATAATGACATATAGATGACTCAGCTACAGCACGAGGTTCGAAAAAGGCAATTTTTCCCAAGGGACCAAACCCAGTAGCTTTACTTTTAGAAAGCAATCCAGAGTTACAAGTTGTCAGGGCGGAGGGTTCAAGACTAAGCAAGGAATCTCTTTTACTTGGTTTTGATAAGATGAAAAAGATTCCCAGGCAAAAATGGCTAGCTGACATCGAGAGCAGCCAATTTACTATTGAGAAAAATTCTGATTAATTAGTCACTCACTTTTGCATGTTAAACCCATAAATACTATATTTTTATTGGTCCTCAATATTAAATAATTTTGATTTCCTTTTGCTGCCAAATTCTTTAAATTGTCATGTCTGCTTGAATACAATGAATGTTTAGATTTAAATATCCTTGATCAAAAACAAACACATGAAACATAATGTGTTTCTTTGTTCCAAAAACAACTCATGATTGAAAATGAAACTTGATAAATTGATCATGCAGTTTTCCTTTTGGAATTCACCAGCAATACAACTTAGTGAAAATAATGAATATTGGTTCTGGAAAAAAAGGAAAAGAAAAGAAATCACTTTTTTTTCTTTTGGAATTGGGCAAATGCAACTTCCCAATTTCTTTTTTTCTTGCGAGTCCGAACTCTAACACCACTGGGATTATTTAAGAAATGGTTTTGGACCATTTCACTATCATATTCCGGATAAAGAGGTAGCCAATATGCTGAGTTGCTATTGTTGAGATATGACCTCAATCCCTCTAATATTCTAGCGGTGTTTTTCCTAAGAAGACCTGATTACATAATCGGTCCATTTCAGAATGACCTCATCTCATCTTTTCGACTCGACTCCCCTCGTCTTCCTATATGAGGCTCTACTTCCTTCGGACTCTTTTCTTCCCTCCCCATGACTCCAGAAACATTAAATCATCATCATTATAAATCTCTCTTCGTGTTCTCTGATTTCATCGCTGTTGTTCTCTATTCCTACCTCAAACAACTTACTATCTAATAGTAAATCATTACTCTTATCATATTCTCTATTAAATCTCCTGTCTCATCTCTTCGCCTCGGTCGTCAATCATCTTTATACGATCTTCTCTTCTCTCTACTCAACTTTGCCGATCTACACTCCCTTCTTAACTCAACTTCGTTTGATTCGCATTCCCTTCTATTCGCCTCTTCGCTGATTCTCATCTAAGTCAAAACAGCCTTCCTAACATCGTAGGTTCTTATATTATCTTCTCATGTTATCGACTGTGCTGGAAGATCTTTTCTGACATTGGCTACTATCAGTTGTCATCTCTTTTCTTTTGTGTTCCTTGTCGTTGTCGCGTTCCCTGTACCGCTGCTCCTGCCTTAAGGTACTACTTTCTTTCTTCTTCTTTCTCTTTTTAAATTCTATTGTATTTCTTCATTATTGTACTAATTAAGAAATCCAACCTTAAGTTTGATACTTAACAGCTATAGACCTGGGGATATAGATTCATGTTAGAAAATCCTGATGAGTAGGCTGACTGAGGAAGACAAAACAAACTTACTTGGTTTGCTTCCTCAAGGAAGGCGGAATGCCTGGAACTAGAAGTGAAAGAACTTTCTCAACTCCCCATTGCAACCCAGAATCTTTGTGGTAGCTCCTCCAACCCCTCATCAAAATAAAACTTTCCGACACCATGGTAGAGGATTCGAAAAGGCCCGTGAAAAGAGTATCCATGAAGGCCAGTATACGCAACACCTAAAGATGGCAAAATAAACTCGCCACCCCTGTGGTTCCCAAAGAAGAAAACCGAATCCAGCAAAAGAGCATTATTCCTGTCCCTATGGGTATGAACCTGAGTATTCACACTAACAGTACGAGCTTGGAAAGAAGAGAGATATCTTATGATCAGAAATTTAAACTAAATTACCAAAGAAAGGATTCATTACACTTACAAGCAACAATATCATTTTTTTTCCAAAGCCAGATTTTCTTGAAGATGATTGCTACCCTCTGCTTTTAGATAATCCACAGCTGCTTGGGCAACTGCAACAGATTTTGGCAAGAAAGTGTTGTTGATGGCACCAAATAACTTAGAATAGAATGTCATTTCATTTCGCAACTTGACTATAGCTTCAGTGTCGTCAGTGTTGTTGTTTTCACGGAGCGGGTTAGGGAGGTGAAGTTCCTTGTCATCATCTGGCCAATCTGATCCTCGCCCCTGGAGCAGATGGGTTTTGATTGATTTGGTGGTGCACTGAATCTTCTTATCAAGCATGCCTGCCATTTTTTTCTGGCATCCAAACACAATTCAATTGGTCAGTGGGGTAAAAGGCAGTCTGAACTTCTTCAAAACACTTACTCCACCCAAGCCAAATCCATATGCTTGATAGCTAAAACTTCCCTCAGGGCTATCACCAGGTGATTGGAAATTGCCTTTGTTCTTGTTGTCCAGTGGAAATGGGGTTTGTGGTGAGCCTTCAAGGCTTTGGGCAACAAAAGAGGGTGGAAGTTGGCCAACATCTAACTTGCAGACTGGCTTGGCAACCATAACCCGTAAACACTCTAATGCCCTTGTCTTTTGATAATTCAATTAGATTCCAGAGACTAATTCAGAGAGTGCAAGGTTTGACTCACTTTGTGGGAAATATGAACATGATTACCTTGACTAGTGGAAAAAGGCGGAAGTCTGATCCCAACACAAATCTGATTCTCATCCAGAAAAATCACCATCTGCTCATCATCCAATACCATGCATCAACTTTCCAAATGTGCTGACCTAGCTCAAACGTCTTGAAGTGTGGGGTACCTGAGACAATACGGCTTTGGATAGGTTGGGTTGGTTTTGATCTCCAGATCATACTTCTCAATCTTCTTCCTGAAAACTAAAGCCTGAACAAGTTGGTTTTGCCAAGTTGTTTGTGGCTTTCCAGTGTCAAAAAAGGCAAAAATGAGCATTTTGACAAGTTTACGGATGTGAAGCTCATCATCCATTTCCTGCATTATGAACACAGCAAATAAATCAAAGTCGACCACCTGCTCTACCAAAGCTTTGTGCAGATCTTGCAGCCATCAATTGGTTTGGCGGATGACAACTTTGACGTCATTGTCTGTGTACATATTTCCCTTCAGAGACATTCTAAAAAAGGGAGGCTGGGGTCAATTGGGAAGTCTGAAGGGTCCTCCCACCCCACAAAGTCACACATTATCATCTTGGTAGGAATAACTCAACCTTGACTGTACGCCAAAGGCCAAGTTACCCCACTGTAGCAGATGGGGATGGACTGTATGCCACAATCCCCATCCGACAGCACCATGCAATAATGTGGGACTTTGAGTGGTGGGTGAGACTTTGAGGGTTACTTGGGAATGATGAGCCCATCACATACCTTCCTTGATCACTCCTGTGGCCTGGCAGTCAAGTCCAATGGGATACGGTTGGGTTTTCAATGAGGAAAGGAAATGGCTGAGGAAAAGCGGGCGGAAGAGTGGTCAGAGTTCCATATGTAGATCAATTGATTAGATAAGAATATCATAAGATGCTCACAAGTGATACCCCAGCTAGGATGAGATTGCTTGGTGGGTTGTATTTCAGTCGGGGGATGTTAGAATCAATGAGATGAGAGGCTCACAAGTATAAGTATAATGCCCCAGAGGAGACGGATGAGATTGATGAAGTGCTTACAGATAAGATCAAGTGGGATCAGTTGCGAGGTCAGACCAAGATTGAGGGAGATTGGACAAGAGAGAGGTCAGAGGTTTTTCCAAGAGAGGACCGAGATTGGATCAAGAGAGAGGACCAAGATTGGATTGAGATTGATAGAGAGATTGGAACAAGAGGGAGGACCGAGATTTGCCTGGTATCAAGGTCAGGGTGATTGATCAATAGATCAGGTCAGGAACCAGTGATTGAGGTAGAGAAACAGTAGATTAAGTGTACCAATGACAGGAGAGATTGAACGAGTTGGATTCCAATATCAACAAAGGAGATCTAGGCCAATAGGTAGGGAAGCTAGATGAAAGACTGAGATGGAGGACCAAGGATCCAAGAGACAAAGTACAGTAAGCCAACCAAGTAATGAAGAGATCAAACTGTAGAGTGTGAGCTTACCAAGGAAGAGTTTGATTGACCGCAATTGAGGCCAGGATTGAGGAAGGAGATTGAGGCCAAAGGGACCAGGTTTGATGAGTTGATTAAGGATTGATGTTTTGAAGACGGGCCACTTGGGTTGTGGGTGAGGACTAGAAACAAACGTGGAGGGGCTCACATGATGGAATCCAAAGTCACAGTTTGGAAAATGTGGGTCCGGACAGCTGGCGGCCTGATTCTTTGACTGGCTGGAAGACTGACCTAACACTTGCATTTTTCATCTCATCCTCAACATCCCCAATCTCATGCTCCATCAACTCAATGTTACCCCTTATACCTCTCATCATCTTGCCTCTCAACTCACCTCACCAGATCTCGGAGCAGATGGAGATGAACAGAGATTTATTAAACAATGTACTCAAGAAAATCGAGGAACAGCCAGACTTTAGCAGAAGTCGTACAGGCGAACATTGAATCAGGAGAACAGGTGTGTAATTTAGCTATTCTTCACTGAGACCAGATGGGGATTCAAGTTATACTTACAGGTGTTATTGCATTCTCTTATTAACTTCTCAGAGATTTCAGCAGTTGGTGAAATAAGCGCAAAGATTGGAGAAACTCGAGGCCAAAAAACAATGTAGGATAGTGCTGGAAAGTGCTCCAAAACAAGAGGCGGATCTCACTCGTTCGACACCTGGATTTGGTGTTTTGTCAGCTTGCTACTATGGCAGAGACAACCTGTCATAGCAAAATAAAATAATAAAAGTACATAAAAAATCTAAGAATAAAGTAAAAATATTACATAAGTAAAAGAAACTACTTTACTTATGTAAATAATACAAAAACACTTAAAATATACAAATAAATTAGAAAGTATAAAGAAAACTTTAATTATTACTGCAGATTCTAAATCTACATACAATTTAACATAGGGTACCTCAGCCAAAGGTACCCCCAATTCTCACTCCTTCACCCTTTAATACAACATTGAATAATTAACCAGTACCTTTAGATCACGGGCCCTGGATAATTATGCATTATACATAACCAAATGCATATACTCCAAATCTTGTCACGGATTTGGAGTGTTGTGTAAAGTTTATAAGATAGTGTAGCGTGGCGTGTACTGTCTCCAAGCCCGCGCGCCGCGTAGTCATGCTGCGCACTGTTTACAGGCACGCCTGACTACAATTGAGCCCAAGGCTCAAGCCCCCGCGCGTGCTAGGTATGCCTACCCGCCTTGGCAGTATCCAAGGAATTGGGCCACAAAGCCCCAGAAACTCACTGTGCACGTGTCAACAAAGCCCCCACACGTGTAATAAAAATATAAACAAGCTAGAATATTCTTGAATATACTACAGTAACTATGTATAATCCATCTTCCAGTTTGTATCACGTGTAATAAGCCCCAGAAACCAGTTCTGGCATATTCTGTGGCCCATTTCCAAGGAAATAGCTCCACGTAACAGACTAGCCCCTACCCACAGGTTCCTAAGGGATATTCTTGGTTCAAATAAATTTGTGCATGACCCCTTGGAGCTTCTAGAATATTATCCCCAAGGTTTCAGCCCTTGTTGCGTCACCATGTGGGCTAAAATGGGCCCAAAAGCGCTCCCCTGAGCAACCCCTGAGGCCTTCCACAGGTATTTAAAGGGCCTTCTTACCGCCCCAAATAATGATCCCCCAGCTTTACAATACCATATAGAAACATACTTACCATTTACAAGTCCCCTACACTTGTAATTAGCCTAGTTACTACTATTATTGTTGTTATTAAAGCCTCAAAATTCCTCAAGAAACTCAACAGTTACCACCCAGCACCCAAAATCAACCTTTCTGAGCGCTCCCAACTTTTCAGTTTCCATATTGAAGACCCTCAAGACCCCATAGGATTATTACTAGTAAGTAATAACCCTTTTCTTGAGATTTTTCCCTTAAATTCTTCCTGGGATTTAAACCACACCTGTTCACAGGCCCCAGTGTTCCAGGTACCTAAATCCCCTGCTTTTTGCACGATACCTTAGAGGGATTAAACCACCCCTGATTTATCAGGCCCCTCTGGTTTAATTTATATTTATTTTTTAATATAAATTGGCCACTTTTTGATTTAATCCATAAATTTCACGTAATTCTTCTGAATTACTTATACCAGTTTTGTCCCAGAGTTCTTACTATAAAAATTCTTAGTTTTTGCACCTTGTGTAGCTAGAAGACACTTGTCTTGGCATCACATAGGCTGACATGTTTGCTCACGGCCCAGGTTGCAGCATACCAAACCAGATTACATTGTTGATTCAGAAACTCGAGCGCAAGATCCAAGAATATGACAATCCAGTTGCAGGCAAAGCCGACTCTAGTAGAAAAACCAAACTCACCAAACGCAAGTGCAAAGGTGAGCATATCAATGGTCAAGAGAGCAATTCTGAAGACTCCGAGTATACTGGTCAAGATGCTGGCGTGGCTGGGACAAAAAAGATGGATGAGGATGCAGAGATCAATGTAACGGGGCAAAGTTTTTGTTATTGGTGTTGGCAAAGACTTCCCTTCATGCGCATCAGCAAAAACAAAATCGATCTACAATTTCAGTGAGCTCTTTTTCTGATTGGATGCAACTTGTCAAGCCTAGTCACACTTTCTTCAAGCGGAACGACTAACATCAATGTTTCTGATTTGATTCCATTTTAAAGGTTTCAATACGCCAACCAATATCCCAAAGCCAATTGAATTGTTGTGACCGGACTGATTGATGTAAAACCATTGATCACTTATCCATTTGGATTTAAAAGGCTATTGAAGCCTTCAACACAGCTGCCAATGCAAAATCGTGTTCAATTAAGGTTCAAGTTGTAGATTACGAGTTCGATATAACCATATGTTATGTCCTCTTACTTAGCCTCTTTTTGTTTTTCTTGCTATTTGCAAGGATGATAGACATATTTAATGGTAGAACAATTTTGTTAAGTAATCATGAAAAGATAGCGGTGCCCTGCTGAAATTAAAACGGTACTTTAAGTTGAGGTATCATTGGGAAATGTCGGTTTGATTTTTGGTGTGGGATTTGTTTTTCTTACTTCCTCACATGTGTGCTCATTGCCTCTGCAAGAAAATGAAAAAAAATTCATTTGTGACAAACCCTTATGCTCCAAGAAAGCATTATTGCCTTCCAGCTCTATTGAAGTAAGTTTTGCATCATTGTTAGGACAATTTTGAGTAGCTCATTGGATGAAATTGGGCTACCTAGTACAATAGAAAGAGTATATACAACTTCTGCTGAAACATAGCATGGTCATTGCAAATGTCAAGCATGGACAAATCATACTTGCGGCGGGTCCAGGGGAGGGGGTAATGCTTCAATCGACCCTAGAAGAACCAAATTCCTTCACATCCTTCCCACCACCTGCAACCCTGTTATTGATTCACAAATGAACATAACTTAGATTACACCAAATTAACCATGACGAATGCGCCTCAAGACAAGCTTCCAACATGATTCTTTTGCATTTCCACATGACACCAAATAAATATTTGAGTATGATGGAAGAAGACTAGTCAACAAATAGTGATTAACACTCAGTATGATGGAAGAATACCAGTCAACAAATAGTGATTAACACTCAGAATATCAGATCAATGTCTAACCAGCGGAAACACATTGATGGATAAGGCTTTGAATGGATCAACAATAAATAGAGCATGTTTGAAGGGTTTTTTTTTATTCCATTGGATGTTGATCTGGACCATAAGAGCAACCAGTTCAGTCTTATTTCTTGTTATGATTTATGTGGTCAAGAACCTCCTATTTGCTGATGGATGACTAGTATTGTATCTAGCTATTATTCTAAATTGGGCAAAAGGGGAGATCAACTATCAGCTAGAACATCAATACAACATAGCCCATCCTGACTGTATCTCAGCCAGGCAAAATCTTTATGAACCACTGATTGGGGAGTTCTAATTTTCCTGTTTTAGGATAAAAAGAAACAAAAATAGTACAAATATGCAAGAAAATTGGTGCAAGCCACAGGATCAAGTTGGCCACTGTCATCAGAGTTTTGATACCAAGGCTAGTCATTCAGACCAAGAGGTATACAAACAAAACAAAAGCTAAACCTACTGCCCTTAATTTGAAATTTTCAATTCTTGATTCCCAAATGATGTTTTTTGCAGTGGAACAAGAGGCAAATTCTTGCACCCTTTCTCAATATGTGTGCAATATCTATAAGCTCAGCCCCAGAAAATCTAACTGTCCAACAACATAACCATCAAAATTTTTATCTTATTTCAAACACCTCTTTTGAACTATTTTTCAAATGAAACACCCAACACAAATCTGGCCAGATGTATTGATATTCATCTGGTGAAAAAGTACCAAGCTTTAAACAAAAGTCTGTGAGATTCAATTGAAGGAAATAAGTTTGGCAATTGTCTTCATATGATGAGATAAAAGTAATTGCAACTTTGGACAATACAAAGTGTTATTCTCAGTAATAAATTGATCGTTCAGCCTTAAGAATTGAAGAAGACCCACTTAAAATGGAAACCAGTTCCAAATTTATGGGGAAATATTCATAAATCACAAATACTTCCTTGGACCCAGTTAGAGTTTTAATACAGGGGTGGTTTTGTTTTGGTCACAAAGTAGGATACAAGCTTGATCAGGCATTAATGTCAGATTTTCATCAGGAATCATTTTCAGATTTTCACAATGATTTACATGGGATATACAAGACTTACCAAAAGGGATCAAGAAAACCAACCCTCAGAACACTTCATCCACAATTTCCAATTTGCGGGTGCCTTTATGGTGAAAGAAATGGATATGGAATTCTCAGAACTTATAGTCTTGCTTGAAGGAAGTTACTTCAGGGAAGATCAGACATTTTTAAAGATGAAAAAATTGCTAAAAATGTTACAATATCTCCATATCCAATTTTTGAACAAGTATAGGCCAGAAGAGTTAGAAATGAGAAAAAAAAATTCAGTGGTCAATTCAAATGATATTTAATCCACCACACAGTACACCAATCACATAAATTGACAAAACAATGGATTCATGGCACTTTGGAATCAAGATAACCAACAAAATATTGATTGTTTGGGAATTGTTCAAGGTCAATTAATCAAGCATTTTGAAGATGACACTTTAACTTCTGAAATACTCAGAGATACTGCAACTTTCCTTATAGCCACTTGGTATTACACTCAGTAAGAAAATCCTCTAGGAATTTGTAAACATTTTGAGGATTCCCTGCTGTTTATAAACATCAAAAATCCCATAAGCTTGAACAGATGACAGGTTTCTAAAAAGTCAGATAAATAAATTGGGTTTTTTGATGAATGCTATAAATTACCCATGAACCCAGCCATAAAACCCATACTCACCCTATGTTGGTAAACCTTGTTTAGTCCCTGGATAAATTAGTACTTATTTATTTTTTCTCAGACCAGCCTCTTGTCAAACCCAATCAATCACTCTCAATCACTCTCAATTTGCTCTCCTTAAACATGCCACCATTTGAGGGTGAAGGAGGTAAAAAACCAAAACAAAAACGAAAACCAACAACATCGGCTGGGGTGTATTTTTCTCAGGCCATTGAACTTGAACAAAATCACATGTTGTCAACCGGGGAGGGGCAAGCCAATCGGACTACTACAGATAACACCGGAAACCAATATGAAGATCTACAACAACAACAAACCAATTGCGACCAACTGGATCAAGAATTTGACTACAACCCACAGCATTCCACTAGCCATCACTTCAATTTTACCGATCATGAAAACTCATCCTCCAACATCCGAGTTCAGCAGCTACACCAACACTTTCAGGCCGAGCATGTCAAGAAAAAGCGTTTACTGGAAGAGAAACACTGGGAAGAGGTGTATGATTCGATGTTGTATGATTCAATGTTCTCATCTTTCAAGCAATGTGCTGTGAAAACCGCTGACTGGGGTGATGAAGATAAATGGCGGCAAGACTGGAAGGGCCGGTGTCCCTGTTTGGATAAACAATCTCGACCTCTGGTTTTAGTCAATATTCTAAGTCTGTTTCCATTATCTCTTGATACAAAAACCTATATCATTACAATTCTAATTAGACCTCAATCCTTCCAGGCCATAGACAAATCAATGTCAAATTTTGTGGCTGCTAAGTAGACCAGGTCCGGCTGATTCAAATGGGTTACATCAGAACATCGCCCAAGTTTCCCAGAAGTGCTTTCTCCATCCGTCTCCTCCGACTACACGACATCATTTGGAAAAATTGTGCTGTCTCCATCACCCCCTTTGCAAAGGCAATTGACGAGTATCTAGATGCCAACAACCCTCTTATTCTTGTTTCTGGGGCAGACATGGATTCCGACCCATTGTATACAGTCAGTCTAGCATAAAGAATATGATTGGTACCTGAACTCATGTGAACCCTTGGAATTTTTGGAATATTATAGACTCGGGATTGGAGGAAAACTTTGTCGACTTCTGTAGATGTGTATAGAGAAATGCTCAGACGGGAAAAAATCATATCCAAAGAAATGTTGGAAATGGATCCAATGGATAAAATGGCTGACATCTGTACCAAGTGCTACGGTCCCTGTGTCTCTGGTAAAAAACCCAATGAACCCGATTATATTGTGTGTATGTATGGTAACTTCCAACATCAAAGGCATCTTGCAGCAAGCCACAAGATATCACAATCATCACAGCACAAAACCCTCTTCATTTCACCAGAAGAAGTCAAGGATATGGAAGATCGTATGAACACTGTAAACCACCAAGCAGAGGGCAATGTCAGCCTTGTGAGTCAAGTATTCTATTTATCCACAGTTGAATACAGGTTGCTTACATATAATGACATTCTAATGGAGGACCGCTGTACTGAGCAACACACAGCAGCAAAAAATTCACGCGGAGCGACCACATGGAAGGCTTGTGATGATACTGGACTATTTGGATTGGCATGTAGGCATGAACAAATCCTGAGACTAATCAACATTGTTCAAAGTGGTGAAAAGTTAGTTCCACTCACTTGTCATTGCACCTTCCTTTGAGATAATAATCCAATCCAGCTAATATTCTGAATGCAGGGCCTATTTCCCAATGACAATGATAAAGATGCGACATCTGATGGAGTTTATAAGAAAAAAAATTGCCTTCTTGTATGATATAGGGTGTAATATTGAAAAGGGAATAGTAAAAGTACGACACTCTCCTTCTTTAATTCTCATTCATATCTCTTGAATATCCTTGAAATCTAATGGTGAAAATTCTAGCGGAACTTATTTAGTGAAGAGCGGCAATTTAACCAGTTGATGTTTGGAACAAGTGTCTTCCATGCGTATGTTCATCAATGGTCATGTCAACTACGGTATAATCCTTGCCTAAACAGTGGATGGGGTATGTCAGATGGGGAGGGATTGGAGAGAATATGGGCATATTTATCACCCCTAATTAGCTCTTTAAGATACTCACCAAAGAAGCATCGACTTACAGCATTAGATATGAGGTCTTCTCATCACAATGAAGTAGGAAAGAGCCGTTCAGGTATGTCTGTCAACTTTGGTCTCATTTATTTTCAAACGGCCTGAAAAAAATTGAGTATTGATTTATTATTCTAGTCAAGTTGCTGTTTGAGCGAGGTAAAAATGTTGAAGAGCTGTTCATAAAATCTATAGAGAAATTGAAGGAAATTGAAGACCAACATGGTTACACCAGTGAGTACTTGACTCAACAGTGGCTCCGACAAAGGGAATGTCAGCTTTCAGCCATGGAGAATGATTCTGAACGGGAGATGATTGAATATGCCGAACAACTGGTTGAAGTAGAAGATGAACTCCAAGAGACTCAGTAAGTATTTATTTCCTGATTAATTACTGAATGTCTAATAATTACTGAATTAAATAGTTTTAGGGATGAGCTTGTTTCACTCAGGGCTAAGCGGAGGCGAACTCGAACTGAGGAAGATCATGAGAAACTTTGATTACTCCCCAACACAGTTATACAGTTAGAAGAACATATTGAAATGCTTGTTGAAGTACTTGGATCTGAGGCATTCCGAAATCTCCCAGGAAACTCCAGTGAGTTGGTTTGTGCAGAATTCAAAATAAATATCAGAACTGATTCCAACTGCTGGCTGATTAAACAGATGCAGATGCCAGAGCATTGATCCGGTTGAAAATCAGCAAGTCAAAGCTATATGAGGCCAAGGTAGGTGTTTGTGAAGTTCAAAAGAGATGGGATCAAAGAGGATCATGTAGTTCAATGTTTTATTTTCCCTTTCAATTGTAAAAAAAATGCTGAATCTTTTGCCCTAATTAGGAACCCGAATGCAGGCTCGGTTCAAGAAGCTAATGAGCTCCAAAATTGTCAGCCACAGAGTACATGTCACAGTACCTTTCATGTACCAAGTAACTGCAACACCTGCACTTATGTACATAAGTACTTATCCATAATGTTGATTACCTTTACCTCTTGTTATCTTATCATTATCTTTAACTTATATTATTTATCTTACATTTATCTTATCTGTTAATTACTTATCTATTAAATACATACCTGTGTCCTACATAAGTAATTATCACTTACCTTTCACTCCCTTGTCCGTGAAATACCTGTACCACAAGTTATCCCTCTGCTACAGTATTTTCACGGTCAAATATTATTACAAATAAATATGTACATGTATTAAATAGTAAGTATTAAGTGTCAATAGAATTAATACATTCAATACATGCACTGATCACAATTATGACTACATCATTAGAGGATCTGTTGAGTACACACATCAAGAGCAACTAGTACATTGATCAACTAGTACACAATTATGATGTCACTTACAGATCATGACAAATAATGATCAGTCACTCAATTGATGTGCTCACTCTCCTGGCCAAAGCTCCCTTGATTCTGAGCGCTCATTCTTTCCTTCCTTCAATATTCTGGAACTTATAATCCGTGCTTCTTTCACTGATTAATCCCCAGAATATTCAGACACCAGTTAAACCAGTTAACATTTATATTGATACAGTACACGTAACCAACATAAATCTTGTCTACATTTATTGTTCTTAAGCTTCAGTACTCTTACTCAACTTATCCACAGTATTCATAGCCTTGCTGAATATTCCCATCAACAATACCTGTTAATCTTCAACTAATTTTGTTAAAGCTTAATAAGTATTGTTAGCCCATTCCCTTTTGGGAATAACCAAATCAATCCCAGGTGAGTCTTAGTACCCTGGATGCCTATTAATACCTTGTATTGATCCGGATGCGCTGTTGATAGCAAGCCTCTCAGTAAAGACCATACTGATAGAGTGAAACCTCCTCTTTACAGGACTGGTATTAATCACCCACTACCTAACACTCACCACGCTCAAAAAAACTTCAGTCAACTCATAGTAACAACCTTTTTACTATTAAATACTCAGGTTAGTTACCCAGAGGCTGACAAAAATGAAGCATCTGAAAATCAAATGGACTTCATAAGACAAAAAAGCAAATCATTATAATGAAAACTACAGCACGGAAATTATGGTGGAAACTCCGGCCTATGAAGAGGTGAAGTCAATGGGCTTAGATGATGTATTTTGGAATATGGGTTTGCTATCACATCCCAACTGTCAGGCTTAGTGATGCCAAGAGCAGAACTCTTCTAGCTACACTAGGTGGAAAGGTATAATAGGATGTGTACACGTGTGGGTGACACGTGAAAAGTGGTGAGGTTTGTGTAAATAAAAGAAAATAGTAAATAAAAACTGCTAAGTTTTTATTTACAGAGGGGCCTGAGTTACAGGGGTTTTTGACTGTGCCCTCTATTTAAGGTCCTGAGTTGCAGGGGTGGTACTGAAGTTCTGGTACTTTGTAATAAAGGAGTAAACCCAGAAAAAGTCTACTACTGAAGAAATAAAGAGATAATACTTACTGGTACTTATCTCTAAGCCAAGGAGGTCTTCAGGAGAGGTGGACTGTTCTTGAAGCGCTCAGAAAGGTGAGTGAGAGGTGTTGGGAGATTGCTGGGGAACAGGTGTTGGATGGTTGAGTGAAATTCAGGTTGATAACAGCAGGAAATGGGCCAAAAGGCAGGTTGAAACTGGTTGTTGGTGACGGTTTATGCTGGTAAGTACTGATGAAGATGGGGAAACAAAGTTCAGGGGGAAGAAGGGGCTCTTAAATACCCATTCTGGGCCTCTGGAGGCGAACTCAGGAGTCTCTCTAGTTGCTACAACTCTCCTACTAAGCCTATGGGAGCTTTTGATCATCTGTAGCACCTGTAGAGCTTGGTTACAGGTGTCAAGGAGATGATGTAATGCTTGTAACCATGTTTACAGGGTGTTCTGACAAAACTGTAACACTCCTGTAGCCTATGTCAGCACTTCATGATGCAGGGGTTGATCCTCAAGAGAGTAATTGTCCCAATTGGGCCAAAAAGGGCCACAGATCATCCCAAACAATTTAATACTGTAGTCTGTGCTCATGTAGTTAAGGTTTCAATGATGTAAACCTTGTTTTTAGTTTTTTCCCGAACTGCATGGACCTTAATTACACATGTAGCCCTCTTACAACATGTAGTATGATGTAACTGGAGGGGTCTACAGTGTATTTTGGTCCAATATCACTCAAGGACTACAAAGTAAGTGAAGGAGTAATAATTCAGGGGTACACTTGGTGATCTACCCTAGGTTATTTTGGATGTAGATTCAGAATCTGGAATAATATCCTGAGTTATACTTAAGGTTCAGAAGTTATTGGGAGATTCTGGTTAAAAATGTTATTTTTCATTATTTATTTGGGGCCTTAATAAAAAAACCCGCATTTTCCTTGTTTTGACACGCTTTTGCTGCGGCACAGCACACGCGCAATCTGTGTTTAAACGCTCTCTTTTTATTAATTTTTTTGGGCATTAATAAAAAAACACGGTTTTTCCGTGTTTACACTCGGTTTTGCTGCGGCACAGCACACGCGGTTTCCGCGTTTACACACGGTTTTGTATTTAATTTTTTTTGCTTGTTTTTCAAGTTTTTTTGAATTTTTAAAGTTGTTTCCTACATTATAAAAGGCGTAGAATTTAATGGTAAAAACCATTTTGCATAAAAATGACTTTTAATTATTAATTTTTTTTTTCCACTCATTTTTCAATTATTTGTTTGCATGCATGTATGTACCTTATTTTTTATGTTTTTTGGAAATTTTAAATTTATTTCCTAGGTTTCACTGTGCGTAGAATTTAATGGTGTACTCCAAATTTTTTAAAACTCAACGGTTAATTTTCAATACGGAAATTAGACACATTTTTTCACTTAAATTTCTACAGGTTAATTTTCATTCTTTTTTGATGTTTTAAATTTTTTTCCTACACTTTAATACATGCAAAAAATGATGGTAACAATCATTTTGCATCAAAATGAAAATACATCTTGAATACTGCATTTGACACCGTTTTTTTATTTAATTCTTCACTTTTTCACTCAATTGTTTGCATTAATTATTCTACCTTATTTTTTATGCTTTTTTGGAATTTCAAAGTTTTTTCCTACATTTAGAAGTGTGTAGAATTTAATGGTAACCTTCAATTTCCATAAAACTCAACGGTTCATTCTGAATACTGTAAATAGTCATATTTTTCAATTGATTTTTAAGAGCTTAATTATCATTATTTTTTGACATTTTAAATTTATTTCCCACACTTTAAGACATGATTAAAATGATGGTAACAATCATTTTGCATAAAAACCGAAGATTGTTATTGAATACTGTGTTAGACATGTTTTTTTTAATGTTTTGTTGAGGAGTGACAAAGGCAACGCCCTGTCACAGACGTCCATGGAAGACAGCCGGCTAGCGTCAAACCAGGCTGGGCCTGGATGCACGGGCCCGTGAGGGGACCTGACAGTCAGACCACCTACACCCATCGGGTTGAGAAGATGGTTTAAGAGACAAGGTCTCTACAATCCCTCCTGTCTCCTCACCGATCTTCCACACACCTCGTAGCTAGCCGTGGGCTTCCTTTTCTCTCTTAGCCGATCCATTTTCCATAACGCGTAAGCATAATTTTTTCTGCAGATAAACTTAAGCTACAAATTCTTAGTTCAACACATTCCAGGCTAACATTCCCTGAAGTTTAAATCCATCGTACTTCGACGAAATTTTGTAGTTTTTCCCGTCGAACTCTTCCTGTCGAACCCGTGTCCAGAAGTCATTAATCCTGTCGACTATCCAGAAGTTATTATTCCTGTCGACAGGCGCGTTTTAGTAGTTATCACCCCGGTCGAGATAACTCTCCAGAATATTTCTGATTGGTGCGCAGTGCGCGAAACTCACCGTCTGTTATCTAACTGTCAACCCATCAGTATTTTTAACAACATCTTTCGTGTAGTTTGGTTTTTGGTTAAAAACATTTTTTCGAGTTAAAATCTCCAAGACTTTCCCCCCATCAAAACAAGAACCCGGTCAAATTAATAGTCGAGTAATAGGATCATGCACCCTGTCAAGTTAATCTCCAGAAGTCCTCCTCATCAAGACACACTGGTGTGTAATCATATTATCCAACGTTCATTATACCATTATTATTTTTATTAGTTTTTAACGTACATATGCCGCTTTGCAGGCTGCTTCCCAAAGATGGAAAACAACAAATCGACAAGATCTAAGACCTACGCACGCAAAGAACCTGTGGAAGCAATCTCAAGCGTAGCCGCAGAAAATATCGCTACCATCGCTAATCCTACCCAAACTAAAGTGGCGGAGTTTTCAACGGCACGCAACAGCAGTGACCCACATGACAGCGATGAAGAGGGGTCTGTAGACCTGATTGCGAAAATTCCAGGTACATATTTGAGACTCCAAAATCCAAAATTAAGTTTTTATTTATGATTTCTCTAATTTCTAACGGACTCCGGTTTTAAGTTCTATCGACAGAAACCGCTAGGGAGGTCATATTGAACACATCCATCCCACCTGCCAAAGATCTAGCTGCCGAACGCTCTCTCGTTTGGACTAAATTGAAAGAAGCTCAAGCTTCTGGCGACAAGCTTCTGTCAAAGATTCTTCTAAAAGCATATAATGAACTTGAGGATACTGCAATCGATGGTCCTCCCAAGATGACACGATCAATCTCGGCCCTCCCTGTGTTGACAAACATGTCAGAAGAACTTTCCATCGCAAAAACGATCGTGAACGCTACAGAAACGGAGCTAGAAGATAATTTAGTATACGCCGTCGGCACGGTCACCAACCATCAAGACATAGGTTTCACCCCTTATTTCGATGACAACATCAAAAAATTGAAAGCCCCTCTACCTCTGACCATATTTGACAGAGAATGGCAAAAGAAAGCGTTAACAGCACATTTGATGCTGAAACTGTCAAAGAACTCAGAAGCAACAAAGTTACCATAAAAGACTCTGGACTCCCACCAAACCCTGAAGACCTCATTGAATCTTTCACTGGAAGGGCCTGCTATGGTCTGGGTGATATAATGGGAGGGTATGATGAAAGAGAATTTGCCCTGGAATCAAGACCCCTTACCACTTTTGAAACCCCTCTGGGAAGATTTCAACTCACCAGATTACCACCAACTCTGTGGCAGTTTACCAAGCCCAAATGATGTGGATACTCCAGGATGAAATACGCAATAATGTAGGAATCTTCATTGATGATGGTGGAATTAAAGGACCTGTCTCAGACTACAATCAAGAAACCCTGGAAGCAAACCCTGGCATCAGAAGATTTATTTGGGAGTATGCAGTCACCTTGGAAAGAATTTTATTCAGAATTGAAGAAGCTGGACTTACCATATCTGGGAAGAAATTTGCCTGCTGTGTACCTGCCCTGGACCTTGTGGGACATGTGGTATGCAAAGAAGGGAGAAAAATTGCCAAAAAACAACGGTTTAGCGTATCATGATGAGTGGACTCAATCTCATTCTTCCTGGACGAATAATCACCGCTCTTTCTACATCACATTGAGAGACGTCTACGGTAAAGGAATTTTTGCTGAAAAACTTCGGATTCACAAAGAAAATTGTGATGCAATATCCGACATCTACGGCTTCATGACAGCATTCCGATATGATATGCAAATCAGAATGAACGCATTCGCACACCGAGTTCCTTCAAAAGACGGTGCGGCGGTACCTGACATCTCCGTAAAGCAATTGGTAGTCATCGAACAATGTTACAGCATAGTCCGTTCTTACGGAGAAGCCAGCTGGAAAGATAATATGTACGCTCCAGGAGCGTCACACGCATCTTACGACCCTGACACAGGTACGAAACGCCCCGAGTTAACAAAATCCGCTTCATACCCAATCAATAATCATCAACAAGGTACGGGTTCTGCGGGTCGTGGGAACCATCAAGAAAGGAGGAAGGAGAAGAGATGGAACAACCAAAACCACGGTTGGGGACATGGGTATAATTATTTTCAGCCAAACGGCGACCATCATAATCCAAGTTTCAGTCAGTTCAATCACGGTTTCATGAACAGTCACTCCACCGGAGCACATGATAACCAGAACTATCGTCAATACTCGGGTCATAATAATTACGGCTATAACCTTCAGAATAACGCTTCCGGTTCTAATTACATTCAGAGCAACCAAGGCAATCACTACGGACCTGGTGAAGGCCGCAAACGTTTCAGAGGAAACGATAACGGTGGTAAGGGTGCTGGGAAAGATAATGACCCTAGCAGCGGGGGGAAACAGTAGGTTCTTCTGAAATCCCCTTTTGGTTTTGAACTATGTGTTGTTTCTTCCTCGGTCAAAGTGTTGTAATGTGTTCAAAATTTTTGATCATTGTTATCATCGTTTTTATTTTGGTTGTTTTTGTTTCAAATTTATAGATTATTGTGGCCCACTGAAGTTATTTGTGAAATGAATTTAGCGGAGTGGCGTCTAGCCCTCGACAACGCAAATTTGTTACCAGAATTAAACCATGTCTTGAGAGGTTTTGAGATAGGTTTTGATCAAGGGATCCCTTTTCACAGACTAGGTAATCTACGGTGGTACACACCAGATAACCATACATCAGCAAGCGAAGCGGCAGATAAGATACAAAAGTCAATTAAAGAAGAATTAGACGGAGGCCGGATGTTCGGCCCATACACTCACAAAGAAGTAGCCGAAAAATTCCCATTTTTCAGGACCAGCCCGTTAGGTTCAGTCATAAACGCAGACGGGAAGATGAGGCCCATCAATAATTTATCCTATCCAAGACAGGATGATGAAATTAGGTCGGTCAATTCCTTCGTAAATAAGTCGGATTTCTCAACGACTTGGGACAATTTCAAGACAGTCTCCGCGTTCTTCCGTAACAACACAGACGTCTACAAGCTCGCCCTATCTGACTGGGCAAAAGCATATAGGCAAATACCGACTCTGAAATCTCAATGGCCGTACCTTATGGTAAAAGACCTAAACGGCGGACTTTATATTGACACTAGAATCACTTTTGGAGGCGTGGCGGGCTGCGGCTCCTTTGGGGTACCAGCAGACGCATGGAAGAGAATAATGGAGTATGAGTTTGAAGTAGTGAAGATTTTTCGCTGGGTCGATGACAATCTTTTTGTCAAAAAGAACGACTCCCTTTGCTCGATGCAAGAAATCACCAGTCGGTCAGTCAAATTGGGAGTGGCGACAAGTGTCGAGAAATGCTCTGAGTTTGCGGACAAACAGAAATTTATCGGCTTCATATGGAACGGACTCAATAAAACAGTAAGGTTGACAGATAAGAAATTGAGCGATAGGAAGGCACAAATAAAAGTTTTCCTAGTTGAAGGATCTGAATTCAAATTCAATGACGCCGAGGTCCTCGCAGGTAGGCTGAATCACGTATCTTTCATCCTCCCACAACTGAGATGCTACATTCGGAGCGTCTACAGATGGATGAACCAGTGGAAAAAGCGCTGGGCTACAAGAAAAATTCCAGAAGATGTTAGATGTGATTTAGAATTCTGGTTATCAACTTTAAACACTTACACCAATACAAGAATATGCCCAATTGCAGAACCTCTGGAGATACATTGGGTAGGAGACGCCTCAACAAGTTTTGGCATAGGGGTCCTAATAGGACGTCGATGGACCCAACTGAGGCTAAAAGAGAACTGGCAGATCGCGACGCCACCGAGAACAATTGCGTGGTTAGAAACAGTCGCTATCCGAATTGGGATCCTAATGCTACAGGTGATACGCGAGGACGTCAAAGGGTCCAACTTCATCGTGTACACGGATAATACCACAACCGAAAACGTTCTTACTTCAAGAAAATCGAGGGATCATCACTCCAATGAGGAGTGGAAATTGATACAACACCTGCTGATTACTATGGAATTGGACTTGACGCCGGTGAGAGTGGTTTCAGCGGAAAACGCCGCAGACGGTTTGTCTAGGGGAATACAAAGACCACATGTACAAAGCGACAGAGTCTGGATAAACATCCCTACAGATTTAAACCCATTCATGTTCCATGCGTAACTCATCACTATCATTTTTGAAAATAATCATATTGTGTTAATTCCTTTTTCCCCTCTCACTATAATCCGAAATCCCATTTCTGCTGTCCTTTTTTCGAAATAGTCTTGACAATGTTATTGAGTTCAACAAACAATATTAATTTCAACAAAATCAGCTTTTTCCTGCAGAATGGAACAGAAGAAAGGCGCCCGTCAAAAACAGACATTCATATACTCTCAGCATGGAAATCTTCGACTTTGACAGGCTACACAAGCGCAGTCTCGAAGTTCATCCAGTTTCAAAAATTGACGGGAACTCCTTCTTTCCAGCTACCCATCACAGAAGCGATGCTTGAAGAGTTTTGCATTTGGGCGGGTAGGAATGCCGTGACGTCTAACGCCGGGAAAATCTCCTCACGTTTGCTACGGAAATACATCGCGGGCTTGAAAGCCTGGCATGTTTACCATAACGCGACCTTCCCAATAGGGAACAAGACACGGATGGACCTAATCCTTAAAGCTTCTAGCCGAGAAGATGAGAAGACGACAAAGGGGCCGCCTAAACGCCCTGTAATGTTGTGGCACGTGACGCACCTGTGGTCAAACCTAGTCCACGGTGATGACTTCGACAAGGCGGTGCTAGACTTGGCGATAGTCGCCTTTTGGGGCCTGGCGAGACTCGCGGAATTGACGTACGCAACGGATACCGGCGCGATAGGTTTCACCGACTCAGTTTTAACCTCCGACGTAACGTTAGGGGCGGACGCTACGTTTGGCGAGACGGCCATTTTAACCCTGCGGAACACAAAAACAAGCTCACCTGGACAGCCCCAGCTAATCACGCTGACCGAGCAAAAACACGCTCTGTGTCCGGTCCTAGCAATAAAGCGGTGTTTGTCTTCCGCAGGCGGAGCGAGGACCTCCCTATTCGGTTACGGGTCAGTAGGCGACAGACAACACCTTACCAGAGGTAAGGCGGTCGCCCGTTTGGAGACGGTCCTGGGTCAAGGAGGCTATACAGGCCTCACAGGCCATTCATTCAGAGTTGGCGGCGCATCGTTCCGCGCGGCCTTAGGGATGTCACATTCCGACGTCTGCCTCCTAGGCAGGTGGAACTCGGATTGTTACAAGATTTACCTCAGGGTTTATTCGGCTGACGATCTAAAGAAGACGAAGGATTTAGTTTGCGCTTGTAAGCGTAACTGGTCACGGATGATGTCGTAGTGGTTTGTTTGTATGGTTATGTATTTTGTCTCCTAGGGCAGTTGGGGGTTTTTTCTCTTCACAGATCAAGGCTCCCCTAAGGAGTCCTAGACTATGGGCTTTGTGTTCGAGAAACCCCTCCCCGTTTGCATTATTACAAACCATTCTTACTACCCGTCCGACCAGAAGGGGGGCCCCTTCGGCTCTAGGAGCCGGGCCCCCCTACCTCTTTCCCAGACGCGCTCTAACACTGGTCCCGCACAGAAGGCGCGGGACCCAGGTTTGAGCGGGTGTCGGCAAGGCCTGTAAGAAATGGATGAGGAGTGACAAAGGCAACGCCCTGTCACAGACGTCCATGGAAGACAGCCGGCTAGCGTCGAACCAGGCTGGGCCTGGATGCACGGGCCCGTGAGGGGACCTGACAGTCAGACCACCTACACCCATCGGGTTGAGAAGATGGTTTAAGAGACAAGGTCTCTACAATCCCTCCTGTCTCCTCACCGATATTCCACACACCTCGTAGCTAGCCGTGGGCTTCCTTTTCTCTCTTAGCCGATCCATTTTCCATAACGCGTAAGCGTAATTTTTTCTGCAGCCACCCACCCACCCTGCTGTTGGAGGGCTTTGTGTTTGAGAAACCCCTCCCCGTTTGCATTATTACAAACCATTCTTACTACCTGTCCGACCAGAAGGGGGGCCCCTTCGGCTCTAGGAGCCGGGCCCCCCTACCTCTTTCCCAGACGCGCTCTAACACTGGTCCCGCACAGAAGGCGCGGGACCCAGGTTTGAGCGGGTGTCGGCAAGGCCTGTAAGAAATGGATAATTGCTTTTTACCAGCTGGGTTTTAATCATTTTTTGAAATTTTAAATTTATTTAATTAAACACAGATAAATTCGTCGACCCCCTGGTTTCACGAGCAGCATTTCTGCCCTGTTTCTACTTCTGTGTCTGTATCACGGCATGTGTAGGGACGAAAGGTAATTGTTCAATACCCCACACATAGTGCCTCCTGATGTGATTGTTTGCTCAATTCCCTCGCCCTTCCTCAAGCCCTCCTTTTATATCCTGTCCAAGTACCCTCTGTCTCACCTGGATTTCCTACCTGATGACGGTCTAAGCAGTTCACCCTTTCACATCTGCTCCATTGCCTCTGCCATTACCTTCTCCGTCTACCCTCACTCCACAACCCAAAACCGGTCATAACTCCTTCCCAGCACTCCTCTTCCACACCCGGACAAGGTCAATTTTGTCAGGTCGGCACCCCACTTAATTTCACACAGCCTACAACCTCACCTTCAACAATTACTTTTCCAGGTCACCTCCATCATCCCGTTGTACATCTTCACACTTCAATATACCCTTGTTCCCTTTCCCGTTTCCTCACCAACTTCATCGCCACAACCATAAATTAATATGTCTTTTGTTCTTCAGAAACACGACCTATCTAGCGCTCGTCGCACCGCCTCAAACCGGAATTGATTTTCTCCTGTTGTATTTCCATACCATTCTCTTCCCCTTCACGTTCCCTCACCACCTTCCTTGCCACCTCCACAAATTAATCGCTATTTTGATTTCCAGAACCACACAATATCTGGCTATTGTCGCACCGCTTCAACCCGGAATAGATTTTCCTCTGTTCTATTTCCGTATCACTCTCTTGCCATTCCTGTTTTTTCACCACCCCCCTCGGCACAACCACAAATTTATTGGTCTCGGTATCCATAATCATGTGTAACCTGGAATTCCTCCCACCGCTTCCACCCGGAAATGATTTTCTTCTGTTCTATCTCAGTATCCATTCCTGACTAGGTTCACCCCCTTTATTCTGACTTCGGCTGCAAATATACCTTTTCCCAAGTGACCTATTCTTCAACAGCCTCATTCTCTTTAAGATCCCAGTGAAATATTTTGATAACAAAGCAAAGGTGCAGTTAATGAAAAGGTACCGGTATGAGGTGGATCAGTCATTGTGAAGTTGGTACTATGTAAAGAAGAAGGAATTTGAGGCATGGGCACACAAACTAGAGATTGGTGGGATGGGTCCAGTAAAGGCAAAGTGGGACCAGGACTGTGAGCGCCCCGATCGATGTACATTTCTGGCATTCTTTTCAAGCGACCCGGTCTTGAAAAAAAAGGCTCGGTACAATAGAAGTCTCTAGAAACAAGCTTGTATTTTGTAAGGAAAAACTTGAACAAACCAAATCATCTCGCTTATCTTGATTGGATGCATTTGGATGATCATTTGGAGGCATTCCTTGGACTCTGGGAATCAGAAAAGCTGAGTTGTTGGCTTGTTCAGCTCGGTATCTTCCTTGTTGTTGTCGTTGTTGAAGGAGGAAGGGATCGAAATGTTACGGACCAGAAGAGATACTCATGTGATGTTGCAAGTCGTATGTATCGTGTTGGAAGTAGGTGTCAACTGAGATCCTTCAGACACACTCTAAGTGTCTTTTATTTGTGTGCTTGTTGATTGGTTTTTGTTCAAACTTTGAGTCATCAATCCCTCGATCATAAGCTTTCATCAAAAAAAAGGCTGCTACTGCTCATATATCTTGTCATTGTGTATGGTTGTGATAAATTTTAGGCTCTCATTAATCCGTGTTGTAATAACAAAAAAAAATAAAAGAAAAGAACAATTGAAAGAGTCAAAAGACCGTTTCCAACAAGAAAGAAAACAAACAAACCTTCCGCTTCAAAGATAAATAGGTTTGCAATTTATGACTTGCATGATCATGAAGAATGGAAGGAAAGGAAACTCGTTCCTGTTGTTCTTTTCTTTGTTTCTTGAGGTTTGGTTACTTATAGAGAGAAATAAGAGAATCAATGAATTCAGAAGAATCCAAAGGAGAATCCATCTCTCATCAAATTAATTCAAGTGCGAGCGATCCAGAATTCAGGGCAGAATAAGTGATCCCGTGACCTCGTCGCGGCCAATCCACTGCGTTCCAGTCAATATTGTGTCTAGGGGTGGTAGTCTGTGCTGGGATAGAGGTGGGAGACGGAGGCAGATCACTCTGAGGAGGTGACTTACTGAGCGGTGGGTAATACTTCCTCGATATCGGTCAGCGGTCTTATTCCCCGATACTCAAATAATGATCCAGACAATATTCTTGGCCTGTTTTCACGGTACGACGGCGACGACTGAAGGTTGTAGGATTAGGGGGTCTGTTAGGAGTGGGAGTGTTTGATGTTAGTTTACGGTTTAAAGTTCCTGCATGAAGGTGATAGAAAAGGTGCTACGGATGCTGAATTCTTCCTCTGACCTGTACTTCTGGTTCTAGCTTTTACATCCATCGGGTTCGTCATCGATGGGGTATGGGAATCGAGTTCTTTTTTTGGAGCCTGGAGAGTTTGTTTCCTTAAGTCATGAGGTCATGACTGGCAATGCCAACCTTGGTATTTCCTTTAGAGTGTGACATCTGAGAAACTGGGTGTCACACCTCAAGGAACCGAGTAGGGTATTTTAGCTGCTGCGGAGTCTCTAGCGGGTAATCCTGCTGTCTTTTGGTAATTGACTTGGCTTTTCCATTACTCCATTATGATATTAAATGCAATTAAATATTTTTATTTATAAAGAAACTAAATCACTAAAACAGGTCAGATTGTCCTGCTTTCTCAGTGACAAGCTGACAGGAAGGAGCAGAAGTGAAGAGAGTTCAACTTTAGTTTTACCTTCTGTCACATCCAAGGGACTGTTCAAGTATCAATGCCTACAACATTACCATTTTGGGCCGTTGAAGGAGAGGGGACTAAGGACTCTTTCACTCTTTCTTTTGGGTGTAGAGATTTTGTAGGGGGTGACATACCACTAAAGTCACATCAAAAATTGAAAGAATAAAATTTTTTTGGCCTTTGGGATTGTTCCACTGACACAGCAGTGGGCCGCTACGCTTTTGGCCCAAAAAGTCTAGCGTAGCGGCGCTTTTCTGCGCCACAAAAATGTAGTGTTAGCGTTTTTTTAGTGGATTTTTGCTGTGCTACAGGGCCAAAAAAATGCTAACCAGCATGTTAGTGTAGCGTAGTGGGCCCTTTTTTGGGGCCTACACGCATAGTGTTAGTGAAAGATGTGGCAGAATTCCGCTAGGCTGCGCTAAAGTTTAGCAGGATTCTGCTACACTAACACTACGGTTAGTGTAACTGGCCCACCGTTGACTTACACTGTAAGTGAGGCAATGCAGGTATTGGTATTGGCCCACATTTCATTGCTGACACATCATATCACATTGCTTTGTGTGGAAATGCATCATGAATTGTACTATGAGCATCAATGAGAGGCTCGGGACTGGAATTGGATAAGGCAAATGTGATTGTTTTGCTGCATTGAGGTCTCTGGTGGATGGAATACACAATTTTCCCTGTTCCAGAGTGAGGAAGTTGAGACAAATTTACTTACTACACGTGACAGATACAGACCAAAGAAGCTGGAGTTATGGGTAGATGTGAATCCGGTGTTGGAATTATGAAGCTTGGGTACTGCAGGAGATTTCCGGGGTTGGTGTTGGAATTCTGAAGTTATTGTGCCCTGCTCTCCTCTCCCTGTCACATCTCTGTCACTCTCTTCTCATCTGTCACTCCTTTTCTTCTCTTTTCCAGATGAATATGAATTGTCATCTTCTGTCCCACAACTCAGCCATAACTTGTATGTAGATAAATATTCATGCTTCCTGAGTTAGAGAATGAAAACCATCAGTTCTTCTGCGCCTGTTCCCTGGAGTCTCTACCGGATACAACTCCTTGTAGCGTGTCAGCTTTTCCTCCACACAAGCTAGCAGACTAGCCCCTTTTTGGGCTCTAAGATCTTTGTTTTGCCCTCAGAGCTTTTCATCAAGGTTTCTTCTTCACCCGGTCTCTTCCCTTTTCTCCGACTAAAAATCCTGAGTTTCTTCAGTTGGTTAGCTGGTGACTGAGGGCTGGTAGGATTTCAAGCTTCACGAGATAAGCGGATCAGAGTAGGTAATGCAATGGAACGGCTGATAAGGGTGTTGTATAGGGCAACTGAGCAGAATGCGGGCCTGGGTATGGTAATTACCAGTTTAGTCATCAGGACGCGGCGGAGCCGCGAGTTCCCTATTACATTTAAAAATGTGTAAAATTGAATGGTGAAGTCCAAT